AAATCCATCAATCCAATCTGGAGATATGAGTATCTAAAAGTTCTATTCCCACAGGCCTTCTGTGGGGAAGCTGTTGCTAGGGCCGTTGCTAAGGAGGCACTGGGCTGCTTTCTCAGTAAAATGTAGTGCATACCATAAGTAAAACGTGAAGAAAACTTTTATCGGTGGAAAATTGTCCATTTTCAGGGCCTCAGAAATTCATACCATGTTTCCATGGTAACCGTTGCTAAGGAAAATACATCTCCCTAGCAACGCAGAGGATAAGACTTCTATACGGTTTCATAAATAGCAATAGAGGGATACCTGTGGGGGAATGCCTGTTTCCTGACGATGTTGAGTGAAGTATCTGAGTATAGATATAATGGCAGCTCATTTTGTTTGCAATTTTTTCGCATTATTTGGGTGTTTTTAGCTAAAAATGTAGATTTCTGACACCTGTGCCATGATAAATGAAGCACATTTGCTGAAATTCGGTACAAACATGTAAGTTAACAACTGCCACGAATCTCTGCCTATTAAATGGTGATGACTTGGATTTTCTGAATAAAAATGATATTTTGTGTTTTTTTCTATCCAAAAATGCACATTTTGGTTCATGTGATAATGTCTAAAGAAACAATGATGAAATTTATTATGAGCACTTTTATACGGTTTCATAAATGGCAATAGAGGGATACCTGTGGGCAAAACGTTTGAAGAGTGTCCGATTGAATATTGATATCTTCTTGGATTTTTTTATGTCTTAAGCAACCGCAAACAACATCTAAATGGCGTAAAATGACATCATAGATAAGGGAAAATGGAGGGAAATATAGTAAGTAAGAAAAGCTTTACATTTACCCGATGCCGTTAGTTGTGTAGTTAGGGTTTTAGGCCTTGCCTTGAAAAGGCTAGCAGGCGGGACCGTCTTTTCACGGCCTGACTTCATGTCTTTGCCGATAGACACTTAGAATCGACCGCCTTCAGGAAAACTATATTATAAAGGCTTCCTAAGTACGTGAAGTTGCTGTAGTTGTGTAGTTGGCATTATACACCTTGATTTGGCGAGGCTAGCGGGTGATATCGTCTTTTTAGACGGTCTGAGTCCACCGCTTGAGGTATATTAATTATAAGGAAGACAGTCTAACTACGCGTAGTTGCTGTAGTTATGTAGTTGGCGTATTACGCCTTAACTTAACAAGGCTAGCGGGCAGGACCATCTCTTTTCACGGCCTGAGTGGGCGGGACCGTCTCTTTTCACGGCAGGCTAGCGGGCAGGACCGTCTCTTTTCACGGCCTGAGTGGGCGGGACCGTCTCTTTTCACGGCACGCTAGCGGGCGGGACCGTCTCATTTCACGGCCTGAGTTAACTGTTGTGCCGATAGGCACCTAGAGTCCTAACTACGCGTAGTTGCTGTAGTTGGCGAGGTTAGCGGGTGGGGCCGTCTTTTCACGGTTTGACCGCTTTCCTGTCGATAGGCACTCAGAGTCAACAGTCTTGAGGAAAGGTAATATTATAGGAAAGGCTTTCTTACTACGCGTAGTTGCTGTAGTTGGCGTATCAAGCCTTGCGTTGGCGAGGCTAGCTGGTGATATCGTCTTTTTTTTACGGTCTGAGATTGCTTCTGTGCCGATAGGCACCTAGAGTCCACCGCCTTGAGGAATTGTATATCATATAAAAGGTTTTCTAACTACGCGTAGTTGCTGTAGTTGTGTAGTTGGAGTATTGGGTCTTGCCTTGGCGAGGCTAGAGGGCGGGACCGTCTCTTTTCACAGCCTGAGTTCACTTCTAACTACATGTAGTTTGCTGTAGTTTTGTAGTAGGCATTATACGCCTTGACTAATGGCGAGGCTAGTGGGTGGTACCGTCTTTTTAGACCGTTTGACTTCGCTTTTGTACCGATCGACACTTAGAGTCAACTGCCTTGAGGGTGTGTACTTTATGAGAAAGGCTTTCTAACTACGCGTAGTTGCTGTAGTTGTGTACTCTCCAAGCAGAGGTTTGGATTTGGGGACCGGTTATTTTAGTGTGTTTTTAGGCTTTTTTTATCGGGGTTTCTCTTTTGCACACTTAGGGTTGGGTGAAAAAAATTCCAATGCAAAAGAGAAACCCTGATGAAAAAGCCGAAAAACATGCCCAAAATAACACCAAACCCAAACCTCTGCTTGGAGAGTAGTAGTTGTGTAGTAAGCGTATTACGCCTTGCCTTGGCGAGGCTACGGGTGGTACCGTTTCTTTCCACGGTCGGACTTTGCTTCCGTGCCGATGGGCACTTAAAGTCCACCGCCTTGAAAAAAGGTATTTAATATATGATTATGAAATGCTCTCTAACTACCAGTAGTTGATGTAATTAATGTATATCGCCTGACCGTGGTGAGGCCAGCGGGTCGGACCATCGTTTTTACGGTCTGATTTTGCTTCTGTACCGACAGGCACTCTGAATCCACAGCCTTGAGGACAGGTATTTTACAACAAAAGCTTCCTAACTACTGGTAGTTGCTGTAGTTGTGTAGTTGTCATATTTCGTCTTGCTTCGGAGCGGCTAGCGGGTGGGATTGCTTTTTCTACGGTCGGACCTCGCTTATGTGCCGATAGAGTCTACCACCAAAGTCCGTTGACAGGGCAGTGTCTATTTACGGGCGTATGTCGCCGAATGTCTGTGCAAGCACACATTTAGAAAACGACGACCTTGCCGTTCCCATCTGGCTAAAGGTATACATATACCGTATTGAACAGGCGCCTTCCGGTTATAATGTACTCGGTCACACGCTGACTTGTGTTATCTGCCGGCTATTAATCCAACATGCCCCAATCCCGCGTGATTGGGGCATGTTGTTTAGTCGGCTGGTGTACGGGAGCAGTATGACTATAGTCTCCAAGTAGAGGTTTGGGGTTATTTTTTTCAACTTTTTTATCGGGGTTTCTAGTTTGCACTAAATCCCCTCTCCCCCCAAAAAAAAATCCCGGGGCAAAAAAGAAACCCCGACAAAGAAAGTTTAAAAACACGCCAAATTACTTTAACCCCAAACCTCTGCTTGGAGAGTAGTCTGACCAGATCAATTGATTTTCCAACCGAGGACATTATGTCTGATTAAATCGCTTTACGGTTGCCGGCCGTCCAACATCCAGTCGGCCTCAGAAGGGGTGTGGTCATATCAAAGATGTGTGGGGAGGGGCCACGTTCATGATTCAAAATCTGTTGCGAATAAATTTGCATTGAAATATATCGAATTATACATTAAAAAA